AGGGAACTAGTACCTCACAGGATTTTGAGATTATACATCTGTTAACGCACACTAAAATACCATCCGCCTTATTTGCAGTCCATTACAACATTGCTTCATATTCAGCCTATGATCTACAACAATTTGGAGACTAGAATCAAATGTAGTATTACTGAGCCAAGTCCCCCCCCCAACCTTGAAACTGTGCATTTGGGTTTTATTTTTCTTTTCTTTCTTTCTTTTCGCAGTCCAGTGCTCAAGCCTATGAAGATCTTTCTGAATTTTGTTTCTGTCTTCCAGGGTATTTATTCCACCCAATTTTGAGGACCCCTTCATCCAAGTAATTAAATATGTTGAAGAGCAAGCACCAAGCCCAGGACTGAGCCTTGTGGTGCCCACTTGTTATCTCCTTCCAGCTTGAGAAGGAGCCATTGACTCTCTGAGTACTATTCTGTAACCAACTGTGTATCTACCTGATAGTTGTTCCATCCTACCTATACCTAGTTAGTTTGCTACTCAGACTATAATGAATGGGGCACTTTGTTAAAAGTTTGGCTGAAGTCAAGATACATTATGTCTACAACATAATAGACAGCGGTTCTGAAAGTTCTTCAGCCAGTTCCTTCAATACTCAATGCAGTTCATTAATCCCTAGGGATCTGAACCAGTTCAAACTACAGTAATAAGGTATTCCCTGACTTTTTGTTTATCAATCTCAAGTTGCAATCCTTTCCCCTCCACTTGTATTTATACATTTTCCTGGAGGGTCATACGTTGCCTTTTGGGAGAAGCACAAGCTAAAGTAGGAATTAAGCACTTCTGCTTTTTCTTCCTTGTCTGTTATTTTTCCATCCCCAATGAGTAGCTGAGCGCTATTTCTTTTCCAAAAAGAAGAGCCTGAGATTATCAGAAAAACTGCCAAAGTAGCCACAGACTTTCTGTAGGAAAACAACACATGAAGCAAAAGGAATAATTTATAGAAGTGCTCTGCGCAACTACAGTAACAGAGTCATCTTCTCTTTAACCAGTACAATGAGCTGAATAAGTGAAACAGTTTAGCAAGCAAAAGGAGATCAAAGGCAGAAAGATGACAATGCTTCAATTTTTCTGTATGACACAATGATTCAAAATTGATTTAGATTAGGTTAAAGATTAGCACAGTCTATTGGGGGAAACCACTTCTTTATGAAAGCTGAAAACAGTGCATAAAATACAGAATCTATTTGAAAGTACAGCATGGAGGGAAAAAAATCTTCATTTGCTTAGATTTGAGAGGTGAAACACAACATAATGCTCTTGAAAAATACATGAAGAAGCCACCTGCACCATCCCACCTTCCACTTTCTGTTGCACAAGGCTAGAAACTTATTAGGCAGACAAATGATAGGATCAGCTAGTACGATGCCAAATGCAATTCTGCAAATTTAAGATGCCTTATGAAATTATCAGGGCTTCTATTACAGTCCTTTTTGTTTATATTATTATTAGGCATGCACAGCCTTCACAAATATAAATTATGATTCTGGGGCAATCCATGTCTGCTCATGATTCCTAGAAATCTGACTGTGCAGTTGCATGACACAAGGAGCGATACTGAACAAGAGCAAACGTTTTCAGCAGAAAATGTTTTCCATTGTCTGGTACACACCCTAGTCCAAGCTTACTGTCTTGCTCAGACTATAATGAATCACCCAATCAGAATTTGGAAGCCATCATTGGAGTGTCAGCTCAAAGTGCACCTAATCCTCCTTGATGGAGTGTCAGCGTTGATGGAGTTGCATCATGATGGCCTGACTCTAACCGTGCTTGTTCAGAAGAGACTTACTTCTAAGTGAATCCAGTTAGCTTCACAGTCTTACAGAGTTCATATCAATGCACAGTCACATCAAAGCTAGCATAAAGTGTAAACTTAAAGCTTACTCCATGAACAAGCAATTGGCCATGGAATGCTTCAAGTGCAACAACATAAGTTAACCTCAAATATTTCTAGTTGTCTTCCCCATCAGTCAACACAATACTGAAGGTGGCTACTTACTCCATGACCAAAGAAAAAGGGAGTAAAAGAAATACCATCCACAAAAATATGAGAAAGTAGAGGGACAACTATGGCCAGCTTGATCTGTGTGCCAATCAGCTGCTCACAATGGGCAAGCAACTTCAAGTTCTCCTTATGTTCTCTCTTTTCCTGAAACAGCACTCAGGTCAGATCTTCCTTCCTTCAAAAGGGTGAATGTTCTCAAGTAAAATAAGATCCACAATGTAAAAACATCATGAAGGCTATCTCCAAGAGATGGGACACAGCCTTACCCCCTTTGAAGTCCAAAGACTGCATCATGAGATTTAATCAGGACCTACTAAATGGCTTGACTTTATCAACTGGCCATTTTCTCCTTCCTCTTCATGGAAAAGAAAATAAAGTCTGTTCCTTAAAAGCTGGTAGAACCAAAGCAACAGGTGACAGATTAGGGTGTGGAAAAATAATTTATCTTGGACAATTAATATGCAACTTGTATGTAAGTACAGAAACACAAGATTTAATTCTCATGCTTGCAGACAATCCATGACAGAGCAAAACAGAGAACCAAAGCTCTGAGCACACGATACAAATGTGTGCCACTCAAACACCCTTTTACAGGCCTGGAACAACAGTATTTTTAAACAAGAGGAAAGCAAAATTAGAAATTAGGAGTTATTCGATGAAACCTTATTTGGTGAAGGATTTCCAGAAAACTGACGACACCACTCTGGTACACGAAAAACAAATTCTGGTGCTATTATTAATAGCTTAAGAGGAAATAGTGTTCACAACTCTTGCCTTCAACAAAATGCTAAGGAAACTGTGCCCTATGGCTGCAGCTTAACTCTTTTTAGAGATTATAAAATGGGCATCAAATAAAGCACACCCAATTATCAATCCAAAAAGGTCAAGAGCCTCCTTTTGTAAACATGACTGAAGTTCACTTTAGTCTAGTAGTCTGTTTAAAGCAAATACCTTTGACTTTGTTTTAGTTGCTTTTACTGTCCAAAGGACAAAATAAAATACACAGCTGTAGCAATTGCTCCATCATTAATGCCTATGTAATACAACATATTTTCACTTTAAAATATGAATGTGCAAGAGACATAACTTTGCATAAGGATTCTAGAATGCACTACTACTAGCTAGGTCCCTCAAACTTGAGTAGAGCAGTTTTTGTTTATTTTTAAAAGGCAGTGTTAACTAAATGTTTTAGACAAGTTTCCCATTTTTACCACAAAATCCACATGTGGGAATATTTGAAAGTTGTGCTGTCTTTATCAAGAAATTTTATTTTAACATTTATCTCCTGTCACAAGAAAACACACAGAAATATGCTGGAATTTCAGATTGGCCAAAGTGAATCTTAAGGAAGAATTGATTGGCAATTGGGCTGTAAGTCAGGACCACAAAATAAGCAAGCTAAAAAAAACAAATATTTCAGATCAAAGGGACTTCAGCACATGTTCAATAACAGCAGAGTCTTCTAAATCAAAGAATGTGGGTGTTCCTTCCACAATTTCCTATTGGTTGCTGTCAGAGAATGAGCAGATGGCCCGTTTCCTGCACAAGCCAATAGATAAGCCGAGTGTGGCCGGAAGGGCTGGCAATAGGCGTGACCAGAGCAGTGGTTGGAAGGATTCAGTGCCGCCACACAGAAAAAAGGTACCTCTCCTACAATCTTCCAGACCAGCTTCCTTTAAACCTCTCTGGTGTCCGAGGCTGCCCATCCAACATGCTCCTTCTCCCATCACTCCAGGTGCAACATTCAATAAAGTTAATAGCACAAATAATAAATTTCAAGCATTCTGAAATATACACTCAAAGCAAGGCGCCTTTGCCTCATCCAGTTCCCCTTCAAGTTAGATAGGATAGATAGATACTGAAAGAGGGTGATCAAAAGATGCCAATGAGCCAAGGGGTGGCTTTATTCTCTAGCACCACACCCACCAAGGGGTTTTGCACAACTTCAGCCAAAGGGCACTGAGCCTACACTTTTCCCTGTCTTATCATCCCAGCGGCCCAGGATCAAGCCGCCCTAACAAGAGTTTCCCAAGTCCAGGCCCGTCCCCGTCCCCCACACACCTTTTCCGGTTCTGGCTGCTCCTTCCTACCCCTTCGCGGCCCCCGCGGGAGTCTCGGGGCGCCTGCGACTAAGAGATCCCCGCTTCCCGAGGCGTCGGCTGGGAGGGAAGAAATCGGCACCTGTCCTGGCCCGGGTGGGAGGAAGGCGTGAGCAGCCTTTCCTCTCGACCCCCTTTAGGGCCAAAAGGAAATGAGCCGGAGAATCCCCGGGGATTCCTCTTCCCCCCCCCCCCGCCCGCCCTGCGGCATCCAGGAGCACTTGACTCGGGCGGGTCCGAGGGCGTCTCTCTCTTCACGACAGCCGCCTCTTCCACTCCCCCTCCATCTTCGGGAGGGAAGGGACCCTCTGTCTCTCCCCCTACTCAGTCTCTCACACATACACACACACACACACACACCCTCTGCGCTCAGTTTCAGTCTGCAACTCCTGGAGGCCGAGCCTCTGAGATCGGGAGAGTTTATCATCCTGCAAGGAAGCGCCGTGGCAGAGAAAGGGACCCTTCCCGGCCCAGGAGGGGCGTTAACTGCTCCCTCCGGTGCCCGGGCAAGGGCGGGGTGGCCAAGCCCTCTCTCTCGGCCGTGGGGGGGGGGACCGGGCTCTGGGTGCTAAACTGCGAAAGGCCACTACCGCCCCCGTAAGAGGAGAGGAAAGGTCCGAAAGGAGGTCCAACTTCGAGGTCCGGGGGGGGAGCGCCGGGTGTTTTTTAGGAAAGGGGGGGCGTCTCGCACCGGGCGCCCCAGGCCGAGTATTAGTTCAGGGAAACACCCTCTTCTCCCTCGCTCGCAGGACGCCGGCAGAGCCAAGGGCGCGAACTTCCGAAGACGGGACCGGGAAGGCAACTCAATCTCCCGCCGCCC